GAGGACAAAAAATGAAAATCGTCACTTGTAAGGTCGTAGAGTTCTCATCGGGGAATGAGCTGTGCAGATGAGGGGGTAGTGCTGAAGATGGAGGACGGACAAATTCATTGTCTGCGTGCAAACTGGGATCGAAACGGGGTGCTATATAGAACAGGTGGCATGTTCTTTTCCGCCCTCTTCTTTGCTATCAAGTTACACAGCACCTTGTCTTCTATGCAAACCCCTAGTTCACTAGTTCGCTACCTGCGATGACGAATGATCGCGGACTTTGCTTTAAGAATATGTGGCTCAACTCCGTCTGTTCGCCTACGTGCCAACATAATGCTACAGTGAGGATGCGATCGAAGTGTTCTATATGGAAGTGGAGACGTAGAGGGCCAGTCCTACTACCTACCCAATACCCCTTTGACATCATCGTCAGTAGGTCCAGTGTCAAGATTGGACCTAGATGAACGGCTGAAGAGCTTCACATTGGGACTCACGGAATAAAATGGAAGGGAGCAGGGTGAAAGGCTGTCTGAGTTTATCATGTCGACCCACACCATCCATGGTAACTCGCAGTTCCAGAAGCCCTACTCTCTACGTTGGACATGGGAGTCTCCTGGTGGACAATTCCATAGGCACCGTTCACACTTCGCGACGGCAGCGCCTCGGTCGCGCGTTCGACGCGATCGATGCGCATGCTTTCGACTGCATCGATCGCGTCGAACGCGCGACTGAAGCGCTGCCGTCGCGAAGTCTGAACGCTGTCATGGTGAGATGGACCACATCATCTTCAGCGAAAGGGTTAGCCGACATCGTTGCTGTTCCTGGGTTTTATACTGGATTGCACCACCGTCTCCCTCGCGCAGGATTCTATTTTCGATGCGAGAGAGGGCCGCAAAGATCAAGAAGCGAAGCCACAAGACTGTCATCAGCCGGAAACCTTCACTACTTCCGCCGATGAACGGAAAATTCTGATATCAATGACATCAAAAGTATACAGGGGGGCCAAAAAAAAGTCATTCCGGCCGAGTCACATATGAGCGAAGTTTTCGCAGCCCAGACAGAGGAAGTGGATATGAGTACCAGGGCGGAAGATACCCAAGATCTTCCTCTATAAGCAGGAGCCGGCTGCCGCCATTCACCTTCATGTACACCAAAATATGAAGTCATCTCCAGTCGCGGCCTGAGTGGAGAACGCCTTTGGAATTCACGTGGCCTCCAAACAGCTGCGGAACTTCTTGAATGGAATCACCCATGGATAGCTACCTGGAGACCAGTACTCTTGATCTGCAAACATCGAGCAGCTCCGGCAACGTCGCTACGGTCCAGGACATCATCTTCACCCCATTCACCAAGGCGCGGGTTGATGGTGTGGACCGGCCGTACCTGGAATGGATGAACCGATATTTTCTTCGTGGGCCCCAGACTGAGGGTGTGCGCTGGTGGCTACATCGAGCAACTCGGAGAATATCCCATCTTCATGTCGTCGCCCGTACCTTCTTGGAAACTTTGTACTGCTACAGGATTGGGTGACAACACATTTAATCGAAGGGCGTTGGAAAAACTTTCGCCTACTTGGAATGGAAGAACGTTGAGTACCTGGAAAAGATGGAGTATTTAAGCGGGGGTCCTGAACTAAACCCCCTCAATTACTCGGTTCGGGCGGAGCTCAACAGGGTGGTCTACAGTGGCGGAGAAATCAACGATCTCGCTCAACTCCGGTACCCACTCACTTTCGCGCGGCCGAATCTCTCGATGGCGCTCCTCCAGAAGGCTGTGGCGGAGTATCATTATAGTATTTAATGTGCTCTTTAATATGGTAGTAAAAATGTCCGATAAAAATTTAATAAAGTGTAACTTATAGCGCCTTGAAAGTCATGGAGGCAAAATGACTTTTTTTGGCCCCCCCCCTGTATGAACGGCGTGTTAAACATGTTCAAGTCATAAGACTTTTCGCTCAACAGGACCATGATTGCATACAGAACTAACTATTCACGGTTACACCCTTCGGAACGCACTGCTGCATTAAACAGCAGTTAACGAACAATAACAGCTTGAAACTTGTAAAAAGCCTTCAGCCTTGCGGTTCACTGCCGATATCGGCTAACCGGCTCATCACGTTGAACGTGTGAGTGCTTGAAGGACTAACTATTGATGTTTCCCTGGGACAATCAAATATAATTTGGCCTTTCATCTGACGACAGAACAATCAAGTTTGAATAGTTTCCCTTTTCATTCGACAATATTGAAAAATGTTTCGTCAATTAGCAGTAGCGGAGCAATTATTAAAACATTGCTCCATTGAATATATCATCTTCAAAGTGAAGAGTCATGACAATTGCTATTTGCAATTAAACTTATTGCGTATATAAAAACACTCAGGGCACTGTAAAGGCGCTGGTGTTGATGATGGTCTTTCAATTTCTGATCCTTGCTTTCGTGTTCTACGACTCTGGATTAACAGTTGCATATCGGAGTGAAGATAGAGCTGCTTATCACAGCGCAAGAAAAGATGCGCGTCCGAATGGAGGACCAGCTGGCTACTACGACAAAGGAAAGGCTGCCTATCAGAATACTGGAGCACCTGCTGTTCTCAGACAGGTAATCTTGCAAAAGAATGCGAATGAACACTCCTTCTGAGCATTTAATGAACTTTCAGAGCTGTGGTGAAGAAATGGCAAAGGAAAGCATTGATCTCTACAAATTTTTCGCTCGATATAATATTAAGAGTTCACAGTGACTCTAGAGCGTTCCTGATTGAAATATCAAGAGCGCAGGCATACAGCACTCTTGAAGGGCACGGTTCGCGTCAGAGCGCGTTCAGACTTCGCGATCGTGCGATCGGATCGCGCGGTCGCGAAGTCTGAACGCGCTCTCAGGTATGGAAGTGAAAAATGTGGCGTCGGAAGGGTGGTAAGGTCCGCGACGAACATCTTGTAGCGGTTTCGCTGCATAAAATTGTAACTTAGGGGCGCTTAAGAGCAATATAGGTCCATTGACGTCTACTTCTTTCCGATGACCCCGCCTCCGGATTTCACCTTCAAGGCCCGCCTTCTAGCGAAAAGTGAAGCTGCAGGGCGAAAAACAGGAAAGTCGTCACTTGTGCGGCTGTAGAATTCGAGGACTCAGCGTGCGGATGAGGGCATAGTTTCGGAGATGAGCTAGTTGGGCACGTACAATGGGATCGAAATGGTGGTTTTATCTAGGGCGGTTGGCATGTTTTTTCCGCTTTTCTCTTCACTATCGAGTCACTTAGCGCTTTGTCGCTAATGTAGAAATTCATAATGCACTATCTGCGACAGCGAACGATCCCGTTCTTTGCAGGAGTGGTTTGCGATGACCTATAAAATGCAAAAGAGTGTATGGGAAGGCGTGTGGGAAGGGTAGTGTGGTCCGCAGAGAGCAACTTGAGCCAGTTTCGTATGGAAAGTTACACGCTAAAGGCGCAATGTTGCTCTGGCGACATCTCCCTTTTTTCAGTGACTCCCCCTCCAAAGTTTGCCTTCCGGCCGAAAGCGATGTTAACGGAAAATTAGCATGAAATGGATGCACCACTGTCTTTGGGGCCGTGGGATTCATTGCAAGGAATCAGCCGAATGTCCGTCGTCCCATCACATGGGCTTTTGGCCTTCTGACCGAAAAATTGTTCGAGACCTGAGGAAACGTATTAATCGTGTTGCCGACGTTCCATTTGTTATCTCCTGCTTACAGACAGTCAGTTGACAACTTGTTGTCCATATTCAAACACTTATACCTTCCTTACCGCGGACCGTGCCTTTGAAGACTCACAAAAGAATGGATTTGAACTTCCCATGGAACTTTGAATGGAGACCTAGGTACATCGATAGAGCCTCGAATGCTGATTACGAATATGCAGATTAAAAGTGCTACGGGGACCTCCCAGACGAGATCTGGGTGGTCAAAGTTTGAGTTTTGGCTCGTAAGCGCTGCTGATCGATGCCTCGGCAGTGCCACCGTGGCCTCGTGGTAATGGTCTCGCTTTCAAGTCAAACGCATGCGGGTTTGCATCCGGTTGGCGCGAAAATTTTTGCTTCGCTCCGTATAAGAGCTTCAACTCTAATTTTCGAAATTCTTCCGAATTTACGGCCCAGCAGGGCAAGTAGATCAAGTACATCAAGTATACGACGTACTCGATCTAGTATGGATTTGGTCATATCTGCCCTCTCTGAACATATTACCCATCCGACAATTCAAAGTTTTAGCGAGAAATTCGTTCATGGGAGATTTCGACCCCCTGAACACGAATATCACATCCTTCGACGAAAAAACGCTCGTCTGGCCAAATTGCGATTCTGGGCAAAACTTTGAATTGTCGGATGGGTAATATGTTCAGAGAGGGCAGATATGACCAAATCCATACTAGATCGAGTACGTCGTATACTTGATGTACTTGATCTACTTGCCCTGCTGGGCCGTAAATTCGGAAGAATTCGGCCGTAAATTCGGAAGAATTCGAAAATTAGAGTTGAAGCTCTTATACGGAGCGAAGCAAAAATTTTCGCGCCAACCGGATGCAAACCCGCATGCGTTTGACTTGAAAGCGAGACCACGAGGCCACGGTGGCACTGCCGAGGCATCGATCAGCAGCGCTTACGAGCCAAAACTCAAACTTTGACCACCCAGATCTCGTCTGGGAGGTCCCCGTAGCACTTTTAATCTGCATATTCGTAATCAGCATTCGAGGCTCTATCGATGTACCTAGGTCTCCATTCAAAGTTCCATGGGAAGTTCAAACCATTCCCTTGTGAGGCTCAGCGATGATGGCAAATATGATGATACTGTCAGGACCATGCTGTATATATATTACACTCATCGCTTGAGTAGCAAAACTCGTTCGTGAACCACCAAGCCGTGTTCAACACAAAAACTTTGTTAGCACGTCCTTTACTACGGACCAAGCTCTGGCTACCGAAGTGACAGATCTGAGAAAATCTTTTCCTTTGCGCCATCCAAGGTTTCTTCTTAACAAAAACGCCTGAAAGAAATAGAAAATCATGAATCAAATTCAGGTGTGCCGAAACACTTTGAAAAGTGCAGATGTTCAATCAGATAATTTGATCTATATTTGTTGAAGAGGCGGAGGTGGTTCAGTGACGAGTGGCGCGTTCACCACATCCGATCCTGGGTTCAGATCACTGGCTGACCCCCGTTCAGACCAACCAAGCCTTCCACCCTCTGGGGTTGGTAGGGTACTAGACTCGTCTGGGAGGATAAAACACTGACTTGTACATCGGCTGGCCACCGCAAGTCATTGTATAGGCCACATCGCATTCAATAAGCCACTACGATTCTGAATGGAAGTAGAATGCGTGCATCCCACAAAGGGATTGATCAACGGCGCCTTATCGGCCTTATGGCCTTATATATGCCTTATCCTTCATCCTTTTCGTTAATTGAAAAGATTCACTAACTACTTTAGTCAAGTACAGTTTATATCACTGCAATCCAGGCATATCAGGCTCTGTACTCGTCTGTAGCAATGGAGCGCTATCGCAACGGCAGTGCATTGACGCGCATTCAAGCGAACTTTGAACACAACCTCAAGAGGCGTGAGATGAGATGTTCGGCTGCCCTACCGATAGTGATCGGTGCTGGAGGAATACAGCCTGTGGTAGAGAACGCTGAAGGTGGCCTCATTTCAAGATGCGACTGTATCAAGTGTAAATGTAACTTTGCCAACGGTCTCGCTCTGCAACTATTATGTTTCTCTGCACCAGTCTTCTCCAGGGTAAGCAGGCGCCCGGCCACTGGCAAAGAATTCAGGTGTGCCGAAACACTCTCACCACCACTCATACAGTCCTCATCATTACGTACTGTCGGGGCGGCACAGCCGCGCTGCACTGTGACGCGACAGCGGCTGCGGCTCGGTGACGGTGAATCAGCTGATTTCGATGGAATTCGGCTGCAAATTCCCACTTTTTCAGCTCTTCAAGCTTCTAAAGTGGAAGGTGAGTTATTCTGAACAATTTTGAATTGTACTGGCTCTGATTTCCTTTATTTTTATGTCAATATTATGCCTTATTTCAGGCATTTATTCAAATGGCTTACATTCTTTCAGATTCATTCAGAGTCAGTACAATTCAAAATTGGTCAGAATAACTCACCTTCCACTTTAGAAGCTTGAAGAGCTGAAAAAGTGGGAATTTGCAGCCGAATTCCATCGAAATCAGCTGATTCACCGTCACCGAGCCGCAGCCGCTGTCGCGTCACAGTGCAGCGCGGCTGTGCCGCCCGACAGTACGTAATGATGAGGACTGTACTAAGTGCTGAGCTGTTTCCTCCTAACACCACAGTGGAAAATCGGATTCGCCCTGGAATTTCATTTTGATCATACCAGAGTCGAGACCATATCGACTCTGTCAAGTTATAGTAGCTTTTCAGTACGGTATATGAGCCTCTAGTGAACAATTATTTCATGTCACGAATATAATTTAGCGAGTGCCGATTCCGTTCGTTCCGATTCCGCCCATTCTAGAAGGCAGGTTCAGTCCACTGGAGCCTTACTTTCCTCATCACATCAGAGATATTCCACACGGAGAAAAAGGTGAGGAGCCTTAGTTATATGCAGATCTGCTTAATTAAGAAGCAGAAAGGCGCGTCCATACTTCGCGACGGGTGATCTGGGTGACTGTGACTGGTCGCGCTCGAGTACTAATGGCTAAACCGCTGTGAAGTTCTAGTTAAGTTTCACCCTTATGTTGATCAGAGCAGCAGTTGCAGCGGCCCAACAAATAGCCAGGGCACATCGTTGTTGGGGAATCCCCAATAGGGGGGTCGTATTTGGTCGCCAGAGAGGGGGGTCGTATTTGGGCTGAGAAAAATTTATTTTGATAGTTGATTTTTCTCGCTTCATGGACGTTGTAAAAAAAAGGGGGGGGGGGGGGTCGTACTTGCTCATTGTTGGGAGGGGTCGTATTTACTTTCTGGCCTAGCCTTTTGGGAGAGGTGGTTGACTTTTCGTGATTTTCCTGTTTCATGTGTACTATATACCCCCCCCTTTCCCCCTCTCGACAGCTCGACAATGAGGAGGGTGAGGAGGGACAGAGGGCTGGAGAAGGGGGGGGGTCGGGGGTCGTACCAACCCCACAAAGAAAGGGGGGTACGGACTCGACCAAAATCCCTAACCAATGGTGTGCCCTTGCTCGAGTCGCGAAGTATGAAAGCAGCTCAAACACTATTGTAGTGTGCTTCGTTTCAACTCCAGACAAGGTTGAGAAATAGCTCTATTGTCCTGCTTTTTGGCAGTACCATTTGAAACAGTCTATCTGCCTGTATCAAGTTGCTCTGTATGATCGGACCCTATTACGGCATTGAAGAAGCTGTCCCCGTTGGAGCGTAAACCAGCAAAATTGTTCAAGAACTTTGGATGGAGTTGGAACTGAGCGCACTGCTCAATGCCAAGGTCTACGGAATATTATCATACAAGAAGGAGACCATTCTTAAAGCTGAACTGCATCTTTGTATTACAGACTGCTACGAGTGTCCATGGATTTCAGTGATGAACTGCAGGAGAGGCATGAATGATTGTATTCAACCAGTTATAACGTGAGTGGACTTGCACCGTTAGCTGTGGCGTTGATGAGCGATAGTTTTGTCTGAAGAAGGGGCAAAAGGAACCATAGGCGTTTGTAGTGTTTCTTCCCGAACAAGCTGCATCAGAGCCTCATGAGTATATGAAATTTGTAAATAACACAGACAGGTTCCCAAAATGTTTATTTTACAAAAGCTCGAAAGTTCTTAATCACCATCCCACGTGGGTCTGCTTCCTGCTGAGGGCAACCTATAAGGGTGCCTAGCCTCGTGAGAATCATTTGTAGACAGTCACATAGCTCATCCTTACTATTCTTTTCTGGTGAGACTTCCTCATTTCAAATGCCTCCGGCAGTTTCCTTTCCACTATATGTCGTATGGAGCGCTTTAGCACAGTAACGCTAGGCCATGGGATATCCTCATATTTTTACTTTAATTTTTTTTTTCATTTTGGTGCGTAGCTTGGAGAGACAATTGTCAGAATAAGGAGGTGGATTGCGCAGACCTTCTGGTGTTCATCTAACCCACTATAGAGGGGTCTCTTGTTTGTCCAATACACTTTTGCCCGCATTCCAAGCATGCTATGGAGTATACCGTACCTAGGAGCCGAAATATTTTGTTAACATTACATTGGGTACAGCCCTTTCGATAACGTTTTTTTGCTCGCACGGCCTTGACCTGGGACTACGCGTTTATGGTTTGGGTGATCGACTGAACGCGAGATAAATTGGATGCGGTGAACTCTGACTACATTTTTGACTTTTAATGCCGTACTCACATTGAGATAGGGCATTACCGAGGAAATATCATTCGGTGCTCCCTTAAAATTTGGTCCGCCATTCTATCCACTTCATCTGAACGTTGTCGAAAGGTTATACGGCACTACGATGATTGCCTGGCTCCATATTCAATCCTGACTTGTAGTAAGGAATGAGAAAACCCCTGCTTATTTGGATCCTCGACAGTAAAATAGACATTAGGGTCTTATGAGTTAAGGTTGAGGAGTGTCCTGTCCAGTTCACTGATGAGGAAACAATGTAAAACGTCGTCAATGTATCTTCGAAGAAGAAGCAAGCTGTGAGAACGGGGACCGCAGCAGGTCGAACATGGAATAAATGTCGCCTGCACTCAGAGACATGACCGCTGGCACATCTCATCTTCGGTGGGCGAGGCAACTTGATGGGATCTTATGACGGCCGCAGCGCCCTCGTCACGCACAGTGGAGCCAGAAATCGAAAAAATCTCTGAAAGCGGAAGCCGGGCTACTTGGACAATGAAGTTTTGCGAACTGTTTGAGATCTCAATCCAAGTATAAGTCAATTTTCATTCAGGCTTCCTCCATATCGGAGCTTCATAGCCTATAAAGTCTAGACGCGGAATGTGTCTTTGATTACAAGTTTAAATGGCTTGCCCTTTGAATTTCTATCAAGAGTCACACTAACAAGGGAGGTCGTTCAGGGCGTGCCCCGCTTTTTCGAAACGGTTTATTGCACTTTGTAGGGCCTTGCCCATGAACCATAAAAGTGGGCTTCGTTTTGGCTGAGCGGCCCCTGGAATGCCAAAAAAGGAGCGAAAAAGAAACCTATGGAAACTGATTGTTTTTGAGCCTCTACGAGCTGTAAACCGCTTGAAACTTTGACCAGTTGCTGAATGGAGGGACCCTATAAAGGTGCTATCGGAATCGAAGAGAAAAGTAGTCGGGGTATGGGGTCTTACTTGTGGCACGTAATCAAGCGTGAACGGCTTCATGGAATGGTTTCTTCAACGATCGGAGGAACGTTCAGCAACAACGATCGGATGGCCTAGTGGATAGCGTGAAGGATTCTCAAGCGGACAGTTGGGGTGGGGTTGATGGTTCAACTCCCCTCGGCGTGCGAGTTTTTGCATTTTTTATGTTTTGCTGTTTTCGCGTTCAAATATGTCTGTGCGTAAGTATGCGTTCGATAACTGCCATTTATGGGCACATTTTAAATGGGAACACTCCATGAATCAGTGCTATTTCAATTCTTACAGGTTTTACATACCATTTAAGCAAGACCGTGATGAATGAGTTGACCTAGTATAGGTCAGACGCAGGCCCGAACAAATATATTGTTTGGAACTTTGGAACTTATTTGTAGCTACGGTGCCATTTATCGCTAATATGGAGTGGCCAATGAATGCGTTTGCTACACACAAGTAAGGGATGTGTAGCGCTACCCAGACACCAAATTACGTCGGCGCCGAAGCATAAGTGTGAAAATCATGATCGGGGCCATCGATTACCTCCTGTGAACAATCTTTCGGCCAAAAATTTTTTTTCGAATTTTTGGGTGTGTGCGTTGGGTTGTGCCCGGCAGTCTTTCTGTAGAAGTCTACAGTGCCTCGCCAAAGGGACCCTTATTTTATTACTATTCAAAGATAAAGTAACCAATGCGCAATTGAAAGTGCATGCCAAAGAGCGAATGGAAAGGGAGCGCATCCACGCCAAGTTTGTCCTGTCGCCTGCGGTTGACCGCACCTTTTCAGTAGCCTGCTACGTCGTTTCGTTTCATCGTCTTTACGAAGATGGGATACTCCGGTCACTACTGCCGACCAAATGGTCCACCAAAACCCAAAAAATCGAAAAAAAAATTTTTGGCTGGAAGTCCGTCCATAAGGGTAATCGATGGTCCTGATTACGATTTTGACACTTATTTTCGAGGTCGACGCAATTTGGCGCCAGTATAGCGCTTAACGTCCCTCATATGGGGGTACATAGACGTACCTTTCGCTCCTTTTTTGGCGTTCCTGGGGCCGCTCAGCCAAAACGAAGCCCACTTTTATGGTTCATGGGCAAGGCCCTACAAAGTGCAATAAACCGTTTCGAAAAAGCGGGGCACGCCCTGAACGACCTTCCTGGTTAGTAGAACACTGCATATTTTGCAAATGAAAGGAGATGGATAAGAACAAGTGTGTGCGCGGCTTGTCGAGGGAGAGGGGTTCCGCGCGGCGCCAGCCCACTCTCTGCAAGCGACTAGACTTGATTATATCGTTTGGGTAGACGTTTTCCACTGATCTTTTTCGCTTACCTGCTTCAACAAGTGATAGAGAACGGGCTGGCAGCAGACCAAACCCAGCCTCCTTGTCACGCCCCATCTCCCATAGTGCAGAAGACTATAGTTCTACTGGAAACGAATGAGAGCAATTTCGGATTACCAAGCCTTTGTCACCTCCACTTAAAGACACATGGTACGATCACACATAGTTTGGGTGTGCGTGACTATCAGCCCCCCAGCTGTCGAAGCGTAGCGGTTTCCCCGTCCTAACATGCGCAGGAATGGAGATACAGGACCGTGGAACACGCTAATTCCTCCATGCTCCGCCCAATGCCTTTTGCGGCGCAGACTCCCGTTTATGCTAACAGCCGTCCGCGCGGCGCGTGTCGCGCGCAGCGCTGCACTTTGCCAAGTCCTGTAATTGCGCTTTGGAATACAAGTGAAACGCAATTTCCTGATGCGGATAACATTTGAGGTGCTGCAAAATAAGAACCGAAGATGATGACGAGGGCCAGAACTCAAGAGCAACTGTGCTGCTTCTGCAATATCCCTCGGAGGCCGCGCATTTCCACGAAACATGAAAATAAAAACGGCCTAAGCGTCCCACTCGTTAGTTTAAAGTATTTTTATGGCTTTGGAGCCGGAATCGCGCCGAATTGCAGAAATTTACACGCGATTTTAATTAATTTGCATTTCCTTAATTTTTTCTTTGTTTTATTTACATCTACATTCGTTGTTCTTCATTTCTAGCCTTTGTCATCTTCATCACCTTCTATTCGGACTTTGCAGCATGAGCAACACCTCAAATGTTATCCGCATTAGGAAATTGCGTTTTACTTGTATTAAAAAAACAATCACAGGTGTTGGAAAACTGCCAAGAGCGCTGCGCGGACGGCTGTTAGCACAAACAGGAGTCTGCGCCGCAAAAGGCATTGGGCGGAGCATGAAGAAATCAGCGAGTTT